ATGCAAGATTCAAACAATAAATAAAATGAAAATACAGAACCTGAAAAAAAAATAAGATAGCTTTGGACAAAAAGCCCCTTTACCTTCTTTCACTCCCCTCCCATGAATTCCAACTGATGAGATTAATTACCTGTGCAAATGGCAGCATCAGTGAAAAAAACAATGTTCAACCAGTATTTAATACATATCTGTAACACTACAGCAATTCTGTCTTTCACAGGAGAAGGTACTGTCATTTTAAATAAAGCAATTTTTTGTATTGTTACTTTTTTTGGCCATCATTTTGTTTACTACATCATTTCAGAAAGAGGTGCAGTGACCTTAGGAAGTCCTGTACCTTTATATAGGCAATTTTTTCCCCCACTTCCCCCTGGCTGATATAAGCAGAGAGACTCTGTTTCCTGTGCACAATTACACCTATCACTTCCACTGAGAGAAGTAAGGAAAAGTCTACTTTCAACAAAAAGGGGATTTAAAAGCCATCAAAGTCCTCAAGTGGAAGATGCTGAGTAACTGCACGATGGTTCTTCATCATCAAGGCTGACAACTAAATATTTAGGAACTATCACATTAAGAAACTTGGCTGGGTCAGACGACTCTTCAGCTCCATAGTGCCTAAAGCAAGGAATGTTTATAGGGCAACGGTTACAGTACATGTCAGAAATCCTAAACAGAGTGGCATACCCATGCTCACTGTATTCTCTTGTTTTAAGTGCTTGCTTACAAATACAAATGACATTTCTATTCTACTCAAGTTCTTAGACGATACTTATCACTGCAGTAACTGAGCACCATCCAGTACCAAAGTCATTGGTCAGGTCATTTGTTCCCTCAGGCAGGGAAGCACTGGTATCAATGCATTGTTTAAATGCCAGTTTTCTATTCTTACAAATCTCAGTTTTAACATCAAGAACTTTTCATTGACACTTTCAGCACAGTGTATACCCTCTGCAAATTTATTACATTTCTGCCAGAAGGCCCAACGCAAATTCTAAAAGCCTATTAATATATTTGGTTACAGCTATATGAAATTATTACAGATGAGCTACACTCCAGCTCACCCCTCCCCTCCAAAATCACAATAGCTGCAAACGGAGTTCACAATACTACAAAACAACATCTTCCAGGAAAAAAAAAAAACAAACACATTTAATGTGAATACGACATGCAAATATTAAGACAGGACACCAGACTTTTCTTTCCCCTTCCCACTGGGTGTTTTATTTTATAGCATTTGCATTAGGTAATCAACTGAAACACTTCAACAACAGAAAGCTGGCAGCATAGTAAGGAAAAAATGGAGGTTATTTCTCAAACAGCTGTGACAAAATGGTTTCAAGTTGGAATAGTATTGCACAAACGAATCAATTTACGGAGGGTGAGTGGGAGCGAGCATCTTCAACATGGATTGTGAGGAAAAAAGGCACTATTTAGCTGTGTGTGTTTAAAAAGAAAAAAGTCATGAAGCACAATCCATGTTTTTCAGAATTACATTCAGTACTGCTTTAGAAATGCTCACAAACCTGTCTCTTTTTACAGAAGCTACAGAAAGCCGCTGATGTAAATATCAGACAGTACAAGTGTATGAACATTTATAATTATGCTCCAGAAAGTCTCAGGAAGAGGGCTCTTTCTATAAATACTGCTGCAAAGGTTACACAGTTGCATAGGCTTACAGTAAAGGAAGCATCCATGCAACTAAGCAGCCTTACAGTTTCCCTAAGTTTAATCTCTAGTAGTCATAAAATATGCTCCAATTTTGAAGAGCTAAATTGGCAGTGCACTTGAATCAGGCTTTTCCACTGACTGCTTAAGCAGCACAGTTCAGACAGTGTCATCCATATACCTTTTTGTCACATACACATTTAGCAACGCCAGGTAAGCTTCATGGAAAATTTTAACAGAATTATAACAGAAAACAACTGATTTTTCCCTGATATAAAATAGAACTGCTCTGAGACCATAAATAAGCAAATGTTTATTCCTGGAAAGTAAAAATAGCCAAGTATCTTCGGAAAAACTAAGTACCCAGAAAAGGCATTTCAAACGACCAGGGTGTGCTGCTTCTTACTCTCCCATACTGTATAGCTATAAATTTTCATGGCCGTTTGAAAATGAAGCCATGATCAGCATACCATTAATAGAGAGACTGCTTGAAAATCAACCCAGAGCAAGCGGGAATGTGCACGTAGGACAGTCTGCACCCGAGCCTTGGGTCTGCTTGTAGATACGCTAACAGAATAAGAGTGAAATTCTTGTTGCATGGCTGCAGAATTATTACGGGAAGGAGCTAAACCAACTGCTGCTCTCCTGTCAACACTGCCCAGTGTATCACAAGTGCTCTGGGCCTGCGGTGGTTGTGGCGATGTAGTTACCAGCGCAGCTGGACCTAGCGCCATTATGCTGACACCGAGAGTTTCAACAGGACTACAGTTTTGCACAAAATCTGGACGTTAATTTTGTACAAAAAGTACAGAACAGTGTAACAAAACCTACCCTCAACTATATATATATATGAGCATTTCAGCACCTTTCAAATGAACTCAGCCCTGCGAAAAGCCAATCTCACTCCTGTGCAGAGACTAGTGACTTCAGTTAAAGGATCCGTGTTCAGGAGGCTGCATAGTAAGTTTACTGATTATACAGCCTGCAACACCAAAACTCCACGTATTGCTGCTTTTCACTATAAGTCATTAAGGGAAAATACATACAATACATTCTGTTTATATACTGTAAAATATTTTTAATACTAACAATTCGGATTGTTTCCATTTCTGAATAGAAGATGAAAAGAGCAGGCTATTAAAAATCTGTAAAGCTCCTTTTCCTAAACTGACTTTTAGGAAATCCAAGTTTGATAGTTCTGAATTCAAACGATTCTAAAAAGTTCACAGTTGACTGAATGGTTGCACTAGATATAAAAGTAGAGTCTTGATTCCTTCTGTGTTCCACAGACTAACACTTTCAGAGTATGTCTGGAATAGATATCTCTCCAATTGTAGATAGCATTTTTAAAAAATATTCTTAAAATTCTTATTTGTCTCAAACCTGTCAGTTCACAGCAAAGAACAGGAAGTGGTATCTGATTAAATAAAATGTGTTTTCTTATATGAACTATGAAAAATATATTGCTCTTTTAAAAATAAAAAAATTGCATTGTTCGATTGTTTTTAGAAATTCTAAATCCTGGAAGGAAAAAAAAAAAAGAAACACAACTTTTAAAATTGCTTACAGAATACAAGAGGTTTCCGTAGACTGAAATCAGTAGAAGTTTTGCCTGGTTTTTTTTCTTGTCAATACAGAAACATTTGTCTACATACCTAGTTCATTACTTCAATGACTATTTTATGTTTTCACTTAGTAAACTCTTATGCTTTCGTAGAGGCGCTCTCCTGAAAACTCTGAAGAAGACTCATGAAGGTAAACTGGTCCAAATTATTCTGAAGGAAAACAACATAGACAAAGTAATATCTAACATAAAACTATCACTGAGTGGATAATCTTTCCTGGGATTATAAATATTCATTTTATTTCAAAAAAGTCACTGCGCTTTGTTATGTAAATTTTTAGATCTCCATTAGCTACTTCTTGTGTATGACTCCTCAGTTCATTTCTTTAGCTAGGAAATGCGTCTTCCAGTGTGAATTAACACATCCTATTCCCAAACATTTTGGCATTATTAATGATGTCAATAGACAAGAACTAGAACAGGAAATCTTATATATGGTTCATGCTATATAAATGGTAAGCTATCAGAAGGAATTTCCCTGATTATTTGGGAAGAACAAAGAGAGATCTATTTTTAAAATTAAAATGGAAAAAACCAAGAAAACAAAGAAAATGCAAGATGTACTTGATAGTTTCTCATTATCCTCTCTGTAATTGGGTTGTTGCTTTTGGCTGCAGACATCCAGTTCACAGACCATTTTCCATTTCCTTTGTTTTCATTACAAGAAGAAGCTGGTTAAAGAAACGCCACTTGGTAATTTTAAACTAAGCCTTCGGCATCATCCCTTAGGAATTTAAACCTTTACCACCATTCCTTACTTTGTCTCCTCAGTGCCTTCCCCTGTCAAACCCTGTGAAAAGCACTTTATGAAAAGGCAGGTATAAGATGTGTAAGTACTCAGATCTTTAAGAAAATTCAATAGGAAACAAATTCTTGTAGTCCTCCACTGCCATTTGCTATAAAGCAGTGGCCCCAAACATCTGTTCTGAAATTTCAATGTACTTCATCTACCAGGTGTTTCACATTGTCAATAATGGCAACTCACAAATTTACAATAGTCACATAAGGCAGTTACATAAATACAGTTATGTCAATCAAGTTCACTGCATCTTTCTCAACCAGACTACACATGACATTTTTCTTCTTGTCCTCTTACCATAATAAAAGGGTGAAGACTACATTTCTGTAAAGAGAATCCCTGGACAACATTCTGGTATTGAAGTCAGAGAGGTCACTGAGGTGCATTTCAGCAATGTCCAACAGTTAACTCAACCAGGAAGTAGATGTGATGTTTTTCACTTCACACGTAACAGAACTGGTGCAAAAAACCCACTTTAAACTAGTTACTTTAAACCTTTTGGTCCAAATACACAAAATAAGCGGTATTTACAGCATTTTACTCCTTTTGTAAATGCAATGCTTTAAAACACGTTATAAAGCACCTTCGTAAAAATATTCTACAGGTAAAAGTATCGAAGTAGTAGGAAAACCCTAACCATACCACAGCTCACTAATGGAGTCATAATATGGATTCACCAATACCTCAGTTTACAATTATTACAAAGAATCCATGGAGAAACTTAATACTGAATTTACGATTTTTATACCACTGTGTAAGGATCAACTATAACTGCAGACAATACCAACTTTCTTTGTAGTTTTCCCAACCTCAGTCAGTGGTGGTGGGGATAAAAACCAAAACAAAACCCCCACTGCTTTGCTTCTTTAACTTTTTACAATATTAATATGGAAATGATGTTTTAACACTTAAGATTAGTTGTAATTTTTTAATAAAACCACGTATGTAAATATGGGCAATTTCAGCAGCAGCAGCATTTCTCAGCAGAACATGATTAACCATCCCAATTAATATCATGTGACATGACTCACAAAAACAAAGCACAGATGTCAACCAGTTATTAACACTTCTCATATTGTATACAACCAAAATTTCCATGTTGAAAGCTGGGAAAAATTATTTCCTCTTCACAGAAGTATAAATGAAAATAAATTGCTCTGAAAATTAAAAAGAACATCAACAGAAGCATTTTTTGTTTGTTTACATTTTCAACTAGAACTGCTGTGTATTAATTGCTCCGAATTAAAATGTTGATTTCTTCAGGTAAAGGATATTAAGTCGCACTGAAAGTATTAGTTAGTTAAAAGAAACGAAGCCTTTGCTTCTGGATTACCAACATAGTTAGCCAGTATCCAACACCCTGGAGGTGATCCACAGCCCACTTTTCTCAGATTTATAAAGAAACATCTTGGAGGTCTACAAGCAATCTAGTTTCCATGGCTGAGGACTATGATGACGATGCAACCAAAGATTTAGGTCCATAAATCTAACAGTATAGTGTTCTTAGTTTGATTTAGGGTAAATCTTTTCATAGAAAAAGTTTTGAGCCAGAATATACAATTCTCCATCTTTTTCCCGAACTGCATGTGCTCTGACAAACTGAAATTGCTCCAGTGCAAATTCATAGAACTCATTCTCCATTTTCCAGATTTCAGACTGTTGTAGCTTGGCAATAGTTTCTTTTGTGGGAAGTTTTTTCTCAGTTGTTTTCCTAAGATGAGACTTCTTTCCTAAATGCAAAATGAAAGCAATAACTTCACTTTAAAGTTCACGTGATTAAAAAATGTTTGCAGTCCTTTTATTTACAGAGTTTTATACTTTCAGCATGTTGATAAACTGCATTAGAAGTGACAGAATTTTATCCAGAATTTATTAACATAACATGCTAGGTTTGAAAAATTGCAGTCCCTCTCACTAAATGTTAATGAATTTTGCATCAGTTCTTTCAATTTTTTCTCCTTACTTTAATAAACCCTGGGAACAAACACTTCACTTAAGGAACAAGATTACTCCACATAATGTACTTACAGCAAGACTGGTCTTTCAAAATTAATTATTTAGATGTTAATCTGATATCAAATGTTAAAAATTTTACAAACTGCAGAGCAAGACTTCTTTCATTAGACAAAGATGACCAAAATGATGACAGCATTTTTCCTAAGAAGTGCCATCTGTTGCTATCAAGGCTCTATATATCAGACTCTTTTCTCCCTCTATTTGCAGACAGAAGTCCTGCTAAGATGGACCTTTTCTTCACCATAAGTTGCATGGCCAGCTCCTATAAACCGAGCTACTAGCTATATAACAAACGACTTATTACAACCCCAGGCAGATAAACATGTAGTTGTGCATTTGTATCCTTTGGGCCTTTTTGCACAGCCAGCCAGGTTGCATCAAGCACAGTTAATTTCATCAGCAGGGCTTCTGAGGAAATGGAAAACTGTTTCTGCAAGACCTTTCACAAATGTTTTGAAAAAAAATTGTAGCAGATGTTTAAAGTGTGGTATACCTACACAACTGCCTTTACCCCAACCTTTTACAACTTGTGTCAGGCAGGAAGATACTTGGGCTGCCCTCAAAAATTTGTACTGATAGAGTCTTTTAAAGAGTTTGTCTCTTCTGTAGGAACATCAGCCAACTGACAGGCAAACCTGGCAGAGACTCAAAACTATTCATTTAGGTCTAATGAATTCACATTAAAAAAGGTGGTAAGAGGATGAAAAATCCATGGAATCCATGGAAATCAACCATTTAAATACCTGTACGGTACAGTTCTGTGGCACCCCTGAAGAACCGGGGCAAAGCTGCCTCCAATAACATGATAAAGTCTTCAAGCTCTTCAGTAACTCCCACTAGGAAGTATTCATTAATCAGATTGTATTTGGCTTGTTCCAAAGCCCATCTGCTTCCCACATTCCTAAAATGACAGAGAACAATTACAGCAAGTTCTGATGTCAGCCAACAATCCTTGGTCCCTAGATGGAGATTACTTCATAACAGGACATTTGTATAGGAAAAGCGAGACTCATTTCAAGTTATAACCGTTTCTAACTCCATTTCCCTTTCCAGTTTCTCTCATCTGTGTTCTTACCTAAAAATTTTGCCTCCTCTAGTTATTTTGACTAATAACTTATCCACAAAAAAACCTCCATGTGTATACGGTTACTGTCTCTATTAATGCAATTTTTGGAGGATTTACATTTTCTCAGTGTCAATACTCAGTATCCACTTTCACAGTAGATACCAGAAACGGTTCTGGTAAGAACACACCTTCCCTTTTGCATCCTACAAGCATAATTCTGAACTAGGAAGTCATTGCATCATTGGGGGGACTTCCCTACTGAATGACAGACAGAAATTAAACTGTCATTTTTTCTTCCTTTTTATAACTTTAGACAGGTGTAGATAGAACTGGCCAATAGCCACTGAAAGAGGAGCTCCCAAGTGGCCATTTACTTTGTTTATGTTTAGATGAACAGTACCTTTGACAAAAAATTGCCCCAATTTCACTCAGAATCCTTAAAATTGAATAATCTATGTCCTTTTACTTTTTTTTGTTTGCTATAGCATTTTTTTAAGGTCTGTGCCATTGTTATAAAACATGCTGTATTGACAGATGGACACTATTTACTTTTGTTTCAGTTTCTAAGTAGCATTGACTACTGAATGTCTGGTAAAGGTTTAAGATAAATTTATTCTGATCTCAATTATTTTATTCTCCACAGAAAAATCTAGGAGCTTGAACAAAATATCTCCATTCAGAAAGACAGATATTGTAGCCTGACATAAGAGAAAAATGTCAAGACTCCAAATCTACAAAAATTGTTTTTAAAATTGAAAACATCTGTTTTCCCTCATATCACTGCTGATACAGTATTCTAACATATTGCTTGTTCAAAGAACTGCAAGACTGTTTCAGCAAAATGCATCTTCAAAAGAAAATACATTACTCAAGTACCTGCTGCTTCACTCTGTCCAGTCCCTCACACTTTCCCCAACTGTGCTACATATTCAAATTTGTTAAGTTTAGATTTCATCATTGATATACTTGACTAACAATTTAAGCTATGTTTATGTCCCTACCAGCATTCGGAGCTGTGGCCACAGAAGAACGGAATTTGAAGCCAGAGTTTCTCTGGAGCACAGTCTGAACCTCCAGCTGCCACACATTCATCAAAGGTCTGGAACAAAGACAAAATTGAGCTGAGCTTTAAAATCTAGTATATGTATCAAACATCTCAACCTGGTTAGTTGCTAAATGTAGTGGGGACCAAAAAACACAAGATATAATGTGAAAGAGAAAAGAAAGGAATTTTTTCAAGCCTTGCTTTCACAGTGTTATTAGGAGGACCTATTTGTCTCAATTAAAACAGTACTTGGACAGTCTTTTATGATTAGAACTAATGAACAATTTGATCTTACCTGATACATTTGATATACCTTTGATATAACCATGATAAAGACTACAAACAAAAACAAGCGAATAGTCAATAAGTGTTGGTGTCATTATTCTTGGCTTACAAAAGTCACTAAAGATACAGCATCAAATGCCATCAGGATTTGTGTGATACTGGGACAGCTGGATATTTAAACCATAGAACACTGGGCATTTTGTGTTTTAGATTAGACAATGTTCTATTACATTTTATATATTATGACAAATAACTGCCATTTCAGAGACTAATTTGGTTCTGGCAATCAGAACTGCAAGCAAGTTGTTCCCCGCATAACAGAATATTCCATACAACATCACTCTAAGTGGATGGAGAGCTGTAGCAACACAAAGTTTCAACTGCAGTAACACAGTTACAAATAAGACCTCAATTAGCATTGTAAAAAATCTGTAAATATTTTACCCAGTCACCATAAAGTAAGTATTTATGATATTTCTAATCAAGATATAAGCCATGTATCTAGGATAGATTTAAAAAAAAAAATATTTAGTAACAAATAAGTGATCACATGACAACTTTTTAGACTGTTTTGGTATAGTTACAAATTTCTGTTCAAAACAACAACAAAGTAAAAATACATTTGCTTAATTATTCAGTGTTAGAACAAGGACAATGTCCTTTGCTTTTATTTTGAGGTCAAGTTTATGAGATAATCTAAAAAAGCCTTATTGATATCAGCCCGAAGCAGGGATTAACCTGTGGTGTCTTGGTCCACACTGCACTTTGAGTTTAGAATAGCTCATACATGTCACATATCACTGATAAAAATGCAGCTTTACTAGGAAAACAAGACAATGGTATAGTTTCTCTAGCAGAGTTCTCTAGAGAAATTCTGCACTGATCTATCATGAGTACTTTATAACATCAATGTTTCCTAAGAACTAAATTGCTTAAATGCAGCTCCTAACTTATAAATGCAAATACTAAATACGAACTGGTATCTGTCAAAAGAAAGACTTCTTTGCTTATACCTGCAGGTTATTTTACAGTTAATATGCAAAAGCAAGGAAGTAATTTTTTAAGTACATAGGACAGGCTTCTGTCCCCACTTCCTCTGATATACTTACTTTGACTACGCCATCCAGCAATTTTATTATAAGAAACACGTGTCTTTACAGACTCTGTTCTTGGATGCAAGCTATCTATAACTTTGGAAGCACAGGGATATAGAGAGAAAATGAATGAAGACCTCTTCCATAGAAATGCTGCAGTATGGACTGGGAGGGGGTGAGGGTGTAAAGCATGTTGAGATTCCTTTCCATTTAATAAAGGCACAATTGACTTCCATTAGAAAGATTGCATTCTTGACCTTCCCTACTTTTCATTTGAAGAGCTCTTAGTAAACCTACTGTAACACAGATTAGAATAGATATTAGTGTCATAGACACTGTGATTAGGTCAATACATTATTGTGTTTACTGAATTTTATATGGAATGGAAGTAAAACTGACACCATCTATATATGTACAGTTTTCTTGGAAACACTACTGAAAAATAGTATTACCTGATATAAATGAAAGAAACCCTAACACTTGGCATATCAAATCAATTTCACTTCACATGAACTAGAGATCCTTACAGGACGAGTTAAATATGTATGGTAACAACCAAGTCTCAGGCTTAAAAAAAGTGGTATGTTAGTGACAAAATGAAAAAAAGCATCATAAGTAGAAAAACATAAAATTATTAAGGCAATGAATTACAAACATTATAAATAGGAATGCATTTCAACTTCTTCCAGCAAATCAGAACTTGAAGTGCAGTCTACCAAGCAGAAGCATTTGGGATTTTGGCTTAACATTTCCCAGTGACCACCTGTTCAGATTATAATTCAAAAATAAACCACTGCTTTTAAATTTCATTCTTTTAAATAAATATTAAGTCCTATAAACAGCTTGAACTATGTAGCATGCTGAGCTTTCTAACCCTTCCACCTCTATCAGGAAGGAATTCCGCTGACCAAATCATGGTCCTCGTGAAAAGGAATAGAGTAGGTTACAAAATATGACATCCTGTCTCCCTTTTTAAAAATGCCTTTATGATCCCATAACACCAAATCATCTCTGTAGCCAGTCTACAGAGATACATTTTTATAAGCATAATTTCAATTACTGTTCTGCTTGAAGCTTTCCTCTACCTATGCTGTAGGATGTCCGGACAAACTGAAACGCAGTAGCTGAAGATGGTGCCAAAACCTAAATAACAGAAGAGCAGTTATCACCTGGAAAGAAAAGAGGAATGGTCTCTTCCCAGTATTTAAAAAACACTATTTGGATGGGGGGGGCAAGGGGCATGCAAAATGGTTAGTCATGATTATTAGTTGTTATGGTGTTTATCACAGAATCGTATAATGGTTTGGGTTGGAAGGGACCTTAAAGATCATCTAGTTCCACCCCCCCTGCCATGGGCAAGGACACCTTCCACTAGACCAGGTTATTCAAAGCCCCATCCAACAGGCTGAACACCTCCAGGGAAGGGGCATCCACAACTTCTCTGGGCAACCTGTTCCAGTGTCTTACCACCCTCAGAGTAAACAAATTCTTCATAATATCTAATCTAAATCTAACCTCTTTCAATTTAAAACTGTTAGCTCTTGTCCTATCACTAAATTCGCTGATAAAGAGTCCCTCCCCATCCTTCCTGTAGGCCCCTTTAGGCACTGGAAGGCCGCTATAAGGTCTCCCCGGAGCCTTCTCTTCTCCAGGCTGGACAATCCCAACTCTCTCAGCCCGTCCTCATATAAGAGGTGCTCCAGCCCTCTGGTCATCTCGTGGCCCTCCTTTGGACCTGCTCCAACAGGTCCACATCCTTCATATGTTGGGGGCCCCAGAGCTGGATGCAGTACTCCAGGTGGGGTCTCACAAGAGAAGAGTAGAGGGGTAGAATCACCTTGCTCACCCTGCTGGCCATGCTTCTTTTGATCCAGCCCAGGATACAGTTGGCTTTCTGGGCTGCGAGCGCACATTGCTGGCTCACATTCAGCTTCTCATCAACCAACACCCCCAAGTCCTGCTCAGGGCGGCTCTCAATCCGTTCTCCACCCAGCCTGTATTTGTGCATGGGATTGACCCAGGCCACGTGCAGGACCTTGCCTTTGGCCTTGTTGAACTTCATGAAGTTTGCAAAGGCCCACCTCTCGGGCCTGTACAGGTCCCTCTAGATGGCAACCCTTCCCTCCAGTGTGTCAACAACAGCACACAGCCTGGTGTCGTCAGCAAACTTGCTGAGGGTGCACTCAATCCTACTGTCCATGTTGCCAACAAACATCAAAGCCAAAGCATCGGTGTTTCTACAGGTTTTGGTGAAAAATGTCTCTCTCAGTCTTCAACAAGAAGAGATGTAGATTTCTTACATAGGAGGGTAGGCTTAACTTGGCTTACAACTCTGGATACCTGAACACATTTTACTATTTAATTTTTTTAACAAATTGCAACATAAAGTGAATTTATAAGGTTACAAAGAACATACTTTATGTTACGTTCTGGCCCACTATAGACACGAAGGGGAGAATAACTTACAAAGGCATCATCATCACCAAGGCTAATAAAAGAACTATTCAGCTTTTATCAGGATGTTTTTAAAAATTGTTTTCACATTAACTTTAATAAGAATAACATATATAATAAAGTGTACTTTACCTTTTTATCCCCCTGTTTTCGCCTCCGTAGCCCCGGTCTGTAATCATCTCCAAAGCGCAGAAAGTAATAATAAGAAACTAGTCGTTCTATAGGATCTCTTATGACATTTATGTAAATTGGTTTCTTTTTAACACCAAATCTGAAGTAAAAGAGGAAAAAATGTCTTTTAAAGGCCAAACCAAAGCTTCTCATCTAATACTTAAAAGACTGTCTCTATTGATACAACTGAAATCTATCTATACCCAGAGAAGATGATGGCAAGAGGAAGTTTAATGATCACTTCCTCCCATCCCCATATTCAGTGCATTATGTGGATGTGAAAGTCAGTTCAATCTCAGTTTTCCGAGGATTGTGATTTCAGGTTTTTTTATTGGAGAAACAAACAAAACTCAAATATTCTCATGCAATAGATACTACAAATGCTTATACAACCATCCTGACTCTAGAAATGCCTTAATTAGTCTAGCAGCCACGTACGTGTTAATAACAAGTACAAGGAAGTTTGACGTTGAGTTCCTCCCCTCCTGAACTATGCTATGCAATGCTGCAAGTGGTTTTCCTGGCAGGTCTCCAGTTGTCAGAGACATGAAGTCTAACAGAAGAAAGACAGAGCTCAGAGCCCATCCATTACCTGGGTTGAATCCATATGGCTATGCTTATTAAATATAAGCCTAAGACAGAATCTGTAACCATATTAACTTCTTTATCTAAAGATATAAAATTTTTCCTTAGACATTTACTCTAGGCAAATTTAGATTTACTGTGGTACAAACAGGAAGCCTGATGAAATGAGGTGGTAAGCTCATGGGACACACCAGAAAGATTTAAACCACCAAAACCGTTCTGTGCAAATGCCACCTTTCAGTGATCTACGTTCAAGACAGCTTTTACAATGCATTTCTCGTTTTATTTTCTTTTCCATTTGAGACATTAATGGGGCAAATAAATATGGTATCCAAATATGAAAGAGACTATATCACAATGGAAATTGCAAGTGTGTCAAGTGCCCTGAAGTAAAGCTGGGAGCTGGAGAAAACACTCTCCTGTTCCCAACACAAACAGGGAAAGTGTTCTGCATTGACACAGGGCCATTCAAGCCTCCTAGCTTGGCTAAAACAGAGAGCGCTCATAATTTTAAGATGGAGTACCATTATGGTAAAGTGGTACTCTGTACATTATAATACCAGATACTCCTCATATGAGGAATCTTCAGTTGAAAAGCTGAAGAACAGAAACATACAATAAGCAGCAGAAAAGAGGAAGTTAGAAAAAAAAAAAAAACCACAATTAAAAGGCATTACTTTGGCAAAAGACCAGCACTACAGCTACAGAAATTGTTAAAGGCACAGAAAGAGCAATTGATTCTTCAGATGTTGCCAGCAGAGTACCAGTGAATCAGACTGTAGCAGTTAAAGGCAGCATTGCTGACATCTGTCTGTATGCCAGCTCCTATTCCCCGAAGTCTGCAAAAGAGGAGCGTGTGAATGTTTCAACCATTTTGATGCGAAGTCCAGGCTTTGAACTGCACCTCTTTCAGGGCCACTGAAGTGCCCAAGACACGCACGTGTGTCCCCTTCTACAGACTCTACTGCAAGTGCTGTAGAAGGCTGTACCAAACCATTTTGATATATTAGCAGCCTCAACCAATAATATGTATCTGTGGGTTAAATAAAGGGAAATGTTTGTGCTGGATTGTACATTCATACAGATTTGCACATGACCTCACAAAACTAGCTTCAGTTATGGTAACATAAGCCACTTACTATTGTAACTTTATTAATAATGATAATGATTTGGCAATTGCATTGTCAAAGGACTCTTTTTCCAACTGTTTACAGAGAAAATAGGGAATAAAGGTGGATCAGAAATTTTAAAGAAAGAGGAAAAAAAATTTAAACTTCTATTGCTGTAATTTCTACATGGATGGGTTATGATAACCTGTCCTCAATACTATAAGTCATTGACTAGATCCAGTACTTTAAGCTACAGCACAATAAGTACTTCTGATATTTGGCAGTGGACCTAAGTCTGATGTCTGCATATAAGCAGGCATAGACTCTTCTGAAATATTTTATACTTCTCAGCTACAAGAATGTTCACTACAAGAACATAACTCACAGCCTTAAAAGTGTGGGTCTTGCTAAACACAACCAGGGTATTCAAGATATTATTTTAATAATGAAAACCCAAAGTATGAGAAAGCAGCTTTTGTGGGAAAAAAATTAATATTTAGGTGAAAGGATAACAAACAACAAACACACAAATAACAGTCCTGGAGGGAAGATGCAGATGAAAGGAATCTGTGAAATTGCTTATATGCTTTCTAGATGTAAAATAATTACTTTAGTTTAAAAAATTCCAGTGTCTGAAAATGTTTTCACTTTGTGAAGTGAGTAATGTATAAAATAACATTCACCGTAATGTATAAAATAACATTCACCTTTGCTGTTCCAGAAAGCTGTTACTCAGCTCAAGGGTTTATTAATGTTGTGGCATTTTAACTTTAAAAAGGCAGAAAGGAAGCTAATGAAATTTGATATTTTATTTTATCGATTGATTTGCAATTAAGACTTTTTGCCTGTTACTTTTGGTAAACTTCCAAGCTTTTACTTGGTGCCACTGGTAATTTCCAGCTTCTATTGTAGCTTTTAGCATTTTCTATTATATAATATACTGTACTGGGAATCTATGAAGCTCTCACTTCCCCTCCTCATTCTTTGTAATAGAAAGCTGGAATTAAAAATCAGTGTACATAATAGAATGAATTATTAAAAGCAATGACTAAACAAAATAAATTCTTACATACAAAAAGCTCATTCAATTAAATAACTGTTTTGCGCCATAGAAACATAACATTACTGAGGATTGACCATCAGCAAGAGGTACAAGTAGTAGTTACTATTGTTTGGGCAGTCAAATACGCTGAGATCTGAAAATTCCACTTTCAATTTTAAACCATTTGCCACATGCTGCAAGTGTAAGATGAAGCACTGCCTAGTAAGTATCTTAAGCAAAACTGACTTGCCAGTTCAAGGGGAAGTTTCACAAGACTGAGCTACTGAGGATCACTGCTTTAGATGCAGAAGCAAAAACAAGACAAGAAAAGAAACACATGGAAGCAGGAATACAGATATGATTCTGAACCTTTGAAGTAACTAGGAGAATTTTTACCTCATTTTCTTTTAAATTAACTTTAGAAATAGCAGCATTAACTCCACAAGAATTATTTCAATGCTTTTTATAGCAAGTCAAATTACTATAGGCCAGAAAACTGCTTTAAAATACAACTTTTAATATTTTAATAAAGTGTAAAAGGATACTCTGATAGAGAAGAACTACATAACTTAAGAGGAAGGTGGTATTACTTGTTATATGAAACATATTTGAGAACAGGTATCTTAAACTTCCCAGAATTGGAAGCCAATCCCAAGGCAGAATTGCCAGTGTTTCAGAGAAAAGCCAGGATCTTCAGTAAAGCAAGCTTGTAAAATTCAGACAAGGAATACTAAACCTAGCATATAAATGATTTTGAAATGGAGTCGACTACATTTTATCATGCAAAAAGACAAGACAAAACTGTGAAAATCAAACCCAAATATTGCTCCTGATAGGAATTTCAGTGTCGGAATTCTTCAAAACTGCAGTTGTCAGACTTTCATCACTAGAGGGCACTAATATCCCAGTTGGAGCCAAGCAACTTAAACTACTATGCCACTCAACAGATAAATCCAAGGGTAACATACTTTGCAAAGTCCAAATAAGATATATGTCCATGGTAAAATCCTGGTTTCATTTCCTTCCAGGAAGTCACATTCTTCACGAATCGGACCTGTAAAAGTAGACAGCAGAAAATGTTTCTGTACAGCTGGAACACAGTAAGTTACCGCTTACGTGGTGTTTTCTGGTTTGCAAGTAAAATCTTCTAATGCATTAGAAAAGAAGTCTATTTTGAATATTATCAAAGAATTCATGCCAGCTAAAATAGACTCTTCTGCAAGCATACAGATGATTCATTTTAGGTCATCACAATTTAATGATCAGAAAGTAAACAAAAGCAGAATACAGCAGTCAGAAGGGCAATTCAAGGAAAGCTACCACAAAAACATTAGCAAGACAAACATTTGAATATTTGTCAGTCCATTTTATTTGTAATTTGAAAGGAATGCAGAATTCCCTCAGCAATAAGTAGAAATGCAAGTACGCCTTTGACCTGTATTGAGTCCCTCAAATAAAAGTGTAGCAGATTGACAAGCATGTTCTTAGACCTATTATACTGGGACATAACAAACAAATCTGATGATTCATTTGCTCCCCCAGCCCCAAATGCAATGCATGAGTAATCCAGAAATTCTATAAATGTATACAGTGTCAATTAGATCTATAGTTTAGCATTTTGAATAGTTACCTTAAGCTTAATCTTTCAGTGAAACTTCCAGGTTAAAGCACAAAGTACCCCTTAAACAAGGGCTGATGAAGCAGTTATTGGCAAACTTCACAAAAATAGGAATAGCTTTACATTTCAAAGATAAAAACAGAATAAGATACACGCCCCAAACCAGGAAGTATGATCAAATTAAGTGGGACATGCAAATCCTGATATAGCTTGACTTTATTAGATGAACAGAATATTTTAACATCAAAGCATTTAACTCTGAAAGTTATTTCAAAACTAGTGAATTGGATAATAAAGAAAAGATGATAAATTCGTACTGCCTGAGCTGTCTGACAGTGATATGCCATTTCTGAAGCTGAGAATTAGAAGATAGCGTTTCCTGCACATCTACAATATCTTTTCTGTTATACAGTGACATAGATAACCACGAAGATACTGAGGTGAGACAAGAGTCAAAAAAGGAAAGTCTGAGAGCTCAAGACAACACACTAACATTGTGTAAGGTCTAATGGATTGAGAGTGTCCTGAAACATGATATTTATTATTTATTATAGCCAACCAATTGAGGATTTTAAGAGGCAAGTCTGGTCTGCTGCTGTTTCTTCACATGTGCAAAAGGCATAGTCTAGGATTTAAGAGGTTGATAATCTTTACTTATTTTGTCAAACACTGGCTCTTGGATTCTCAAGTAAAAGAAATGGATATTACTTTTTAATACCAGGCAGTGCTCATTTTTTCAGTGTACAGGTTTCACAGTCTGTGGCATTTCACAATTTAAACCATATATTGCACATGAAAATTGTGGCAAATCTAGCTGAAAAGCACTGCACAATGTTACACAATGATGTTTCATAAACTGCACTGGCTTTCTGTCTGATTTTGTCCATAGCACAAACTGATAATATATCTATGTGACTTTGAATCCAGTTGAACTACCTTTACTGAAACAAACCACACTTTCATTGACTGTACCTTTCAAAGATTAATAACAAGATATTTTCAGTGGAGAGCCTCCAATATGAATATTTCTATACCTGGGAAAGAAACTTCCTAAATGCAAAGTATATATTATCTTCCCTTCCCTCACCTCCAAACCCCAAAATGTCACAGTTGGTTGATACAACTCCGCAAGTAAACCAGTTATGCTACCTACTGCTTGTAGTGCAGCATGCATATTAAAGCATACATTTCAGTTACATTTCCATGAACAGGCTTTCTGAAATCTAGCACTAGCTAGATTTTAGTTTCTAATAGACTAGGACTAGACACAGGGTAATGTTAAGTGCAAAATCCCAAGGGTCAGTTCTGTCTTTGATCCCCATGCCATCATCTAGCATCAAACCTTAGATGTTTCAGTAGTAGTTTAAAAAAATCCTTTATTGTCTTTGTCATACAATTATGTTGTCTGCTAAGGAAATAGTTTTTATGAACATAGGATGGATGTTCTAGCCTTTTATTATCGTTAACACCAGGCAAGCTAAGAGAAGGCTAGGAAGGTTTTACAAGACAGCTGTGACATTTACATCTGCCTTAAGATGGACCAGCAACACACTGTGCCCCTGAGAATTTAAGTTTTTAACACCTGTAACTAGGCCTGCAGGCAAGAGATTTATTTTCCGCCCCCCTGCCCCCTCACAGTTTGCAGCATTCCAAAAAATCAGAATTGTACCAGGTCACAGGCAGCCTAATGAGTCTGGATTCACACATTTTAGGGCAGAGATGAATATTGCTTGCTGCTTCAGACTGTTAATATGATCAATTTTACCTTTCTTTTCAAGGCTTAGCAGATACTGGAGCTTTCAAGAGACCGCGCAAGCTTCTCCATCTGAACCCAACTGAATAAAATTTGAGGTTACTTTAAAAGTTCAGATAGACGTGAATGGAATTCCTGTGAAGTTGTTTCATGGTGCTTTTATATAATCAGCTACAAAGTTGCTTCACAGCCTTTAGTAAGTGAGAAATCAGCTGAGCTTCACTGAATTAAAAAGCCAGATCAAACGTACTCTGGGGGCGTAAGATGTCCTGAAAGGTAAGTTAAATACATTCAGTTTCTAGGACGATAAGAATTTAAAACAAGTCCCAGTGAGTCAAAAGGAAAAAAACAAAAACCCAACCCAGCATACTTGGTGTGAGCAAAAAGCCCTGGGAAATCTGTGCATGCAAACCAAAGTGATGTTGCAAGCTGTCACCTCTGTCCACTAACTGCTTCCATTGATCCCTCTTCTCTACAGTCTTCACCCCCACCCCTACCCCCTCTGCCCCCAAAAGGTGGTATGGTCATTAGCCTGTGGCCTGGTATCACATGGACTTCTGGACACCAAAAAAGCCCAAGCTTTTCATGTCATTATAGTCTAGTTTTGTTTGTCAATTGATGAGGAACTGACTTAAAATTACAAATAAGTGGAGGGATGAATACCACAAGCCCAGCCCGGTGAGGACACATCAGGATTTTCCATTTGAACTACAAAGAAAGGGCTCTTGAATAAGACTGAAGACCAACACAGGGTCTTCATTAAAGGAAATCTCAGATTCAGATTTAAAGACCAAGAGTAATGGGATAACTGAATCAGAATCCCTCTGCAGAAAGGCATTGGTAGCTTAGCTATCCAAATCATCACACAAGCTAATAACTTCTAGTTAGCTCTAAATCAGAGGGTCAGGAATGCTAGAAACAAGCTAGCAGCACACCTTTGACTGCACGCCATGAGAAACCACAAGCAAGCGCAAGGCAAGGGCAGCTGAGACGCAATTTTGTGAGATGGTAAAAAGACAGAGCTCACCAGTTCAGCCATGGTAGAGCCAGGATACCTGCCTTGCACGAACAGTTCTTTCTCAGAAGGAAAAATACTATTGGCACATGTACAGCAGTGGATACTAGTACTGACTAGGCCATCTAACTCTAAGAGAAAAATTCTTAAATATTCAGGAGCATACGACAGTACTTCCACTTCTAACAGAGTCACTGCAACCTTTTACATGTTCCACTTCTGACAGCCATTGAAACCTTCACCAGCAGAAGAAGTACTACTAAAGTCCGTATGAGTGTGCTACCCTCTGAGAAGCCACTGTTTTACAATACATTTGGAAGCAAGATTATATATTTTCAGGTTGCTCTTTTGAGAAAAATGGAGAAAGAAACTGCGGGAGAAAAAAGAACAAGGAACGGAAAACCGCAAGCTGAGGGAGTGAAATGGTGGATAATTGTACCATGGTTTTTCTATGTTCACAACAACAGTACAGAGAATGTGTTCCCATACCCCCTTTTCTAATAATATATCAAGAATACATGCTGCAAGACAGAACAGCAATTTTGTTTTAAATGTTTTGGATTACAGTGTCACCATGTAGCAAAAAAGCTAAATTTTGTGTGGCTGGTACACCACCCAACTAGCTGTAACAAAGGCATACATATAGGGACTATCAGTACTGAAACATGCAAGAAACAAATAAAATCCACCAAAAAACTACTCTGATTTAATGAAAGCAAGTGTTTTTGTTACAGACCACACAGGTCAGAAATGCAACATGGGCAACATGGCACTCAGCTTGCTGCACAGAAAAGGCCCAACCTGTGGAAAGAGGGGCAGTTCCCAGGATCCTGCTGTCAGAGAAGCTGCAAAAGAAAGGAGGGCTGCTGGGACAAGTTCCATCTGAAACTAAAACGGATGTGTTAGGGACTCTTATCGGATTATCTCAAATCAGATACAGATTATATTTGGAGTGGATTTTAATCAGTTTTTTTTCAGATTGCGTTCAAAAACTAAAGGTTTCACATATGGACAGAGAACTTAAAACATGTTAGAGAATTAGAGTAGTTTGGAAGAAGGACAGCAGAAGTAGTGCATAATGGAGGGCTCGCTATTTTACATATTTATGTCAGGTCCAAGACAATCTTCACCTTGCTTAGGGAGATTTGCTTTAACAAACAGTATCACTGATAAAACAATTTTGCCTTTATGATATGTTTATGTATTTTACTACTGGTGCATAAACACCTAATGTACTCAAGTGAGCTATACTGACAAAAGCGGCATGTAAATATTTTGTGCAAATCCAAGCCCACGAAGAGTAAACCTATACCAGCTACTACTCAGCACCCTTGCCATCTCCAGAATTGTATGTTATGACTTACAATGGCAAGTTGCTATCTCAATATACTAAAGATAAATAAGTATTTCTTCTTCTTTGAATAACTACGCAATATATATGAAAGTTTTCATTGTCAGCATCTCCCAGTTAATGGCCACTGAAGAAGAGGAGTATTTCTAATTAAACAGCATAACTTACTACCGTGCACAATAGCATTGTATCAAATGAAGGTGGGACTGCCAGTATTGTATACATGCCCAGCATTGATGGATTTTCATTTTTCAATAGGCAATTATTAGAGGGAAGATGAGGAGGAGAGTTTCTCTTAGACAAAACTAAGTCAGTAAAGAACAAATTTGATTTGAATGAAATTGCCGCAAAGGGAGTGGAGAACATAAGGTCGCTTAAAGAACCCCCATCAAAAATATTAGAAAACTGATTTAAATATAGATTTATAAAAGCGTGACTTAAGAAAGTTTGATGGCAAGGTTCACTCTGTTACTTACTATGTGGAAGGCAACTGTTTATGTCTAATAAAAGGGTAAGGAAAACCTCCTGTTGAGTCACGAGGTTCAGACTGGACCCCTTTGCTTTCTAAACTTCTCTGAGAGGCATCTAGGTGCGGCTGGATCCACTCCTAGTCGCAGACTTGGTCAGTGGTTTATGTCCAAAGGGATCAGGTGTAGGGATTTCAGTGTAGTGCTTCAACATGTGATTATGGGTCTTGTGTGACTTTGGAATAGGAGTAGTTTGAGGTTCATTAACAGTACTATAACAAATCATAAAATTAGATTATATTATTTCCTAGGAAACAATTACTCAATAATCAACAATTTGTGATAACCAAACACAGCAATTTAAAAATTCAACAAAATTTCCTAAATCAAATCTCATACATGCACACACACACACAGATATAGAGGTTAACCTATGATTAAGATGTTTCCTTTCCTGCAGATTATAGTAAATTTTGGTACCCAATGATCGAAATGGGTCTATCTTCTCTTCATCGGCTTCTGTCAGCGAACAGTCTGAAACTCTTAACTCTTACCCCTTCATCAGTTTCTATCAGTGAATGGTCTGAAACTACTCCCTTCATTGGCTTCTATCAGCAGACAGTCTGAATCACATCATGCAATACGGGGTAGCAGCCTGCTGTGGTCCCAGAGAGCTCCAAAGGGCCTCACTTTAGGATCCATAGTTATAGGGCCCCAAGAAGATTGACTTTGGTCAGTACTTTTCCACTGTGACCACAATTCTTGTCAGATGAGCATGGCAACTTTCATAGTGGGCTTGCGAACTGGGCAGGAGGGGTCTCAGGTATGTTTCCCAGGCATCAGGAGTTCCAGGTGTGGTTAGGGAGTGCCTAATCACCCCAATTCACTGTACTTCCACCAGGACAAGAAGGTACCGGTTGTCTCAACTCACTGCCCAAGTAGGCAAGGTCAGAAGGTCAGATTGTCCCAGCTCACTGCACTTGCAATTGAAACAAGAACAATGTTGGGTCCACCTCCTTTGTAACTAAAGCAAGAACAATGTTGGCTAGTATTGACATTGCAATGTGGCCCGGGATGGGAGGGTTTGGGGGAAGTGGATCTGCACCACCACAGAAATTCAAACAAATGTAGAAATGTAAGGCAAGTTTGCCTACGTTTAATTCATGCCATCAATGACTTGCTCTCCTATCTTCAGGACAGACCACCACAATTCAAAGAGACACCTTGACATAAACAGAATCTGTGGCTGGAAGTGTGCAGCACTAAGTATGACTGACGAGCATGACTTTTAACAGGTTTGTTAAATCTTTTGAAAAGTCACTCTGCTGTTGGTGCATAGGTCTTTAGTACTTGTTCTAAGCAGTGGACAAGACTATAGGGATGGCTACCAGATTTACCCTTAGTAATCTCAGTAATCACGTATGACAATATCACCTTCATATTTAGGAAAAGATTTCACAACAACAAAACCCCAACAGGAATACAATCCCGCTATCACAAAACAGGTTCCTAGTCCCACCTCAAGTCCACTCTATGTCCCTTGCACCGAGATGCCTACCTCAATCTTTCTCCCACATACAGCGCTGAACATGGAGGGCCCGCACCATCTGCTTCCCCTTGCCCCACTCCAGTGGCTGTGCTGAACTGCATCTGTCTGTAGGCATGCGCTTAAAGGAGCTGGAAGCCTCAGTGCTGACACGCTGCACTGCAGAACAGCTCCTGCCTCTGCTGCATATCAACTTAAGATGAGCAGCATACAACCGGTAGTACATACCCAAGTCTGGAAACATTTGTTTTACATACAGAAAGGATGACATAGTGATGTTTCAGACCTCTGATCTGGGTTACCTACACGT